GGGCTGGTGTTATGTCGGGCATGTTCCTCTACAGGAGGAGTATTGAACAAATGTTTAAACAAATCGTCTGGGGACGATTGTTTGAAGTATTTCTTTGTCTGGGGGAGATTGTTAAAACATCGTCTGAACATTTCTTGATCATGCTTGGCAATTTCTTATTGAATCGCTTCGCTCATTCTGCCGGCCCTGGAGCGCTATTTGGGGCCTCTTGGGGCCGTCTTGGGGGCTTCTTGGGGGCTTCTTGGGAGCGTCTTGGGGCTCCCTGGCGGCGTGCCATCTGTTGGTGAGCTCGTGGCGAGCGAAAAGGAGGAGGAGGGAGGCGGGGAAAATTTTGTATCAATTGTGCTTTATGTTGGCGTGCTCGTGGCGAGCGAGAAGGAGGAGGAGAAGGGGGACATTTGGGAGCCAAGTTTGGTCGTGGACAAGACGCGTTTTTTAGAGGCCGTTTGGGGTCTCTTGGGAAGCCTCCTGGGGCCTCCTGGGGCCTCCTGGCAGTATTTCTAGAGCCTCCTGGGGCCTCCTGGGGGACTCTTGGGGCCTGTTGGGGGCCTCTTGCGGCCTCTCGGGGGCCTCTTGGGGGCGTTATGAGGTCTCCTGGGGACGTCTTGCGGCTTAGAGCGCGAAATGTCCGTTCCGGTCCCCCGTCGGGGCCCGGTCTTGGAGCCGTCTTGGGGGCATCTTGGGCCATCTTGGAGGTTTCTGGGGGTCTCTTAGGGCCCTCTGGGGTCGTTTCGGAACGGTCTTGAATTCTCGTAGGCCGTAGTGGGGCGATATTGAGGGCTTTTTGGGCCGTCTTAAAGCGCTAGTATGCCGAAGAGGCGAGAACGCCAAAATCCTCCAAAAAGCAATGAAACTCATCAATTTTGGCTTGTTGGGGGCCTCGTGGGAGGTCTCTTGGACGCATCTTGGGGCGTCTTGGGAGCATCTTGGGCCGTCTTGAGGCCTCTTGGGGGCGTTATGAGGTCTCCTGTGGACGTCTTGCGGCTTAGAGCGCGAAATGCCGTTCCGGTCCCCCGTCGGGGCCCGGTCTTGCAGCCGTCTTGGGGGCATCTTGGGCCATCTTGGAGGTTTCTGGGGGTCTCTTAGGGCCCTCTGGGGTCGTTTCGGAACGGTCTTGAATTCTCGTAGGCCGTAGTGGGGCGATATTGAGGGCTTTTTGGGCCGTCTTAAAGCGCTAGTAAGCCGAAGAGGCGAGAACGCCAAAATCCTCCAAAAAGCAATGAAACTCATCAATTTTGGCTTGGGGGCCTCTTGGGAGGTCTCTTGGACGCATCTTGGGGCGTCTTGGGAGCATCTTGGGCTGTCTTGAGGCCTCTTGGGGGCGTTATGAGGTCTCGTGGGGACGTCTTGCGGCTTAGCGCGCGAAATGGCCGTTGCGGTCCCCCGTCGGGGCCCGGTCTTGCAGCCGTCTTGGGGGCATCTTGGGCCATCTTGGAGGTTTCTGGGGGTCTCTTAGGGCCCTCTGGGGTCGTTTCGGAACGGTCTTGAACCCTCGTAGGCCGTATTGGGGCGACATTGAGGGCTTTTTGGGCCGTCCTGGAGCGCTAGTAAGCCGAAGAGGCGAGAACGCCAAAATCATCAAAAAAGCAATGAACATCATCAATTTTGGCTTGTTGGGGGCCTCTTGGGAGGTCTCTTGGACGCATCTTGGGGCGTCTTGGGAGCATCTTGGGCCGTCTTGAGGCTTCTTGGGGGCATTATGAGGTCTCCTGGGTTGCGGCTTAGAGCGCGAAATGTCCGTTCCGGTCCCCCGTCGGGGCCTGGTCTTGCAGCCGTCTTGGGGGCATCTTGGGCCATCTTGGAGGTTTCTGGGGGTCTCTTAGGGCCCTCTGGGGTCGTTTCGGAACGGTCTTGAATTCTCGTAGGCCGTAGTGGGGCGATATTGAGGGCTTTTTGGGCCGTCTTAAAGCGCTAGTAAGCCGAAGAGGCGAGAACGCCAAAATCCTCCAAAAAGCAATGAAACTCATCAATTTTGGCTTGTTGGGGGCCTCTTGGGAGGTCTCTTGGACGCATCTTGGGGCGTCTTGGGAGCATCTTGGGCCGTCTTGAGGCCTCTTGGGGGCGTTATGAGGTCTCCTGGGGACGTCTTGCGGCTTAGAGCGCGAAATGTCCGTTCCGGTCCCCCGTCGGGGCCCGGTCTTGCAGCCGTCTTGGGGGCATCTTGGGCCATCTTGGAGGTTTCTGGGGGTCTCTTAGGGCTCTCTGGGGTCGTTTCGGAACGGTCTTGAACCCTCGTAGGCCGTATTGGGGCGACATTGAGGGCTTTTTGGGCCGTCTTGGAGCGCTAGTAAGCCGAAGAGGCGAGAACGCCAAAATCCTCAAAAAGCAATGAAAATCATCAATTTTGGCTTGTTGGGGGCCTCTTGGGAGGTCTCTTGGACGCATCTTGGGGCGTCTTGGGAGCATCTTGGGCCGTCTTGAGGCCTCTTGGGGGCGTTTTGAGGGTTCCTGGGGACGTCTTGCGGCTTAGAGCGCGAAATGTCCGTTCCGGTCCCCCGTCGGGGCCCGGTCTTGCAGCCGTCTTGGGGGCATCTTGGGCCATCTTGGAGGTTTCTGGGGGTCTCTTAGGGCCCTCTGGGGTCGTTTCGGAACGGTCTTGAACCCTCGTAGGCCGTATGGGGGCGATAGTGAGGGCTTTTTGGGCCGTCTCGGAGCGCTAGGAAGCCGAAGAGGCGAGAACGTCAAAATCATCAAAAAAGCAATGAACATCATCAATTTTGGCTTGTTGGGGGCCTCTTGGGAGGTCTCTTGGACGCATCTTGGGGCGTCTTGGGAGCATCTTGGGCCGTCTTGAGGCCATCTGGGCCGTCTTGGGGCGCTCTTGGCTTCAGGCTGCTGGGCCTGCCACATATTTGGCGTCTTCTTGGAGCGCTCCTGGAGCGCTCCAGAGGCCTCCAGGGCCGCGCCCAGGAAGTCTGGCATCTCTGACCCCCACCCTCCCGGGGACCTGCCAGGGTACTTTTCGCCCAGGGACTCCTAGGGGCCGCCCCGCGCGCGCGAACTAGAAATACTGTTTACCTGTTACCAGAGATCGTAGCACGCCCTGGCCCGTTGGGCCGGCGAATTTTTCTTCCAAAATCACCTATAGGGGGACAAGCCCTACCTAAGGCTGGTGGGATTTCCGGATGTGTTTTGTGATCTCTTCCTGCCTGATGGTCTGCCCTCACATCGCCTCGTGCAATCTCGCGTGGCGCAGCGTGACGCGGCCGCGAGACGGCAGCTTTAAGTCGAGCGTGTCCCTCTATAGGAGGAGTATCCAAAAATAATACACAAAAATTGTCTGGGGACCAATTCCCTTTTAGGTTTTGACGATTTATGGAGCATGTCTTGACTATTTTTATTTTGTCGTCAAGAATCCGCCCGTACGAGGACATGCTCGACCTAACGGCAGCTGCTACAGCAGCTGTCGGGTTCGCCATCGTTTTTTGACGACCGCGCCTCGGATTTTGACGAGGAGGAGTTTCGTGGGATGTCTGCAGCGGGAGGCCTCGTCAAAATGCAGGCTCGGCCTCGTCGTTTTTTTGACGACCTCGTCGGGGATTTCCGAGTCCCCTGTACCCAGGTCTTACGTCCCCCTGACCCCCCGCAGCGAGAGGAATCGCGGCGCAGCTTAGCAGATTCGCCTGGCGAAGGGCCCAGGCCATACGCAGTTGTGAATACCGTCGTTGTTGGTATCGGCTTCGGTGGATCTCCTCCTGGGGCCACGAGGAAGCGCGTGAAGAGTGTGCCGAAGTGGGGCAGGGCGGATCTCCCTATGGGGCCACGAAACTTATGAGTGGTGTGCCATAATGGGGCGGCGCCGCCATGCGGAGTGCGCCACTGGGACGTTACGTGGAGCTCCTTGTGGGGCTACGAAGCGTGTGAGGGTGTGCCAACATTGGGCGGCGCCGCCATGCGGACTGCGCCACTGGGACCTTGGGTGGAGCTCCCTATGGGACCACGAAACGCGTGAGGGGTGTGCCAAACTGGGGCGGCGCCGCCATGCGGACTGCGCCACTGGGACGTTACGTGGAGCTCCCTATGGGGCCACCAAACGTGTGAGGGGTGTGCCAAAATGGGGCGGGTCCCGCCATGCGGACTGCGCCACTGGGACCTTTGGTGGAGCTCCCTATGGGGCCAAGAAGCGTGTGAGGGTTGTGCCGACATTTGGCGGCGCCGCCATGCGGACTGCGCCACTGGGACCTTGGGTCGAGCTCCCGATGGGGCCACGGAACGTGTGAGGGGTGTGCCAAAATGGAGTGGCGCCGCCATGCGGACTACGCCACTGGGACGTTACGTGGAGCTCCCTATGGGGCCACGAAACGTGTGAGGGGTGTGCCAAAGTAAGGGAGTGACGAGAGGAGGAAGGAGAGGAAGGAGGAGGAGAGGAGGAAGGAGAGACGCGGGGACCGTCATTCCAAAACGGGGACCCAACACCACAGGATGGTCCGCAAAAACAACATACTTGATCAGGACAATATCCATATACATATAGATGTCTATCATGTTTATACGGTTTGAATGCCTGTAAACACTAATGCTGTTGCTGGCAATTCAGACAGAGTGGCGGATTGACGCACATGTCACACACTGAAAGAGCAACTTGCGTTTATCAGTTATCCAACATTCTGTTCATCACAAACATCACATGCGCAACATTTGAAGTGTCACTCAAGTGTGAACATTGGGTACGTGACTAGAGGTGCATGTGCTTCGGGTCAGATTATGTCTTACCATGTACTCGCCCAACCGCGGGCCCAATAATCACGCAGCGCTTTCATTCCTCAAACGGTGCTGTGCTTAGACAGGCTAGAGATGAATAGACTACCATGTTGATCACAGAAAGGCCGGCTTTCCTGGTCGTTCACCCCTCCCCTGGGCCCCACCCGCCCCCGCCTCCCCGTCCTCCCCCGTGGATCCCTTCCGCTTTCCGCCGAGGCGCGGGCATCAACCACTCCTCCGCTCCTCGCGGGCGGCGCCCTGCCTGGCACGCCCCGCACCTCCAGGCCTCCGCCCATCCGATGTCTCGGGACGCTGGCCTCTGGACCTCTCGACCCCCTCGGACCGGGTTCCATCCAGAGCAGCTCCTAGAGGCTCGAAGAAGACTCGAAGATTCGCCCATCCGGACTAGGCCCGTAGACTCGAAGAAGAAAAACGCCATGAACACAAACTTTTGGCGCTTCGCGCGGATTTCTCGGATCCGCGCTGGGGCCCCCCCGTCGGCGCCTCCGGCGCCGCCCCTGGCGCGCTCCGCGCGCCAGAGAGGGGGGATCCGGCGCGGATCCAAGAATCCCGCGCGGAGCGCCGACAGCTTATGTTTATGGTTTTGATTCTTCTTCCGTAGACGGCGTTCGCGGTCGGCTCAGGTTGCGCCGGGAAACCTTCGGTGCGATGCTGTCGAGTCGCTGGAGGTCTCCCCC